TATTTCCTTCTTGCCATGAAGGAAAGAGGGGAGCCAGTGAGTTTTCTGACTTCTGTCAGGGGGAGTCTTCGGGAAGCTTGCCCACTTCTGCACAGACCCAAGGCTCCCATGGGAGACTGGGGGTCTCCAGGCTTGGAGAGGGGGCTCTCCCATTCAGCCATCTTCACTTGGGTGTACAGTGCCTTCTAGGTTAACATGGAAGTGAGTGTGCTTTTGTGGCCACCATGATGCCCTCTACAGTAATTGGCTTTCAGGATTGAGTCCAGGAATCCTAAATATCCTATTTTGTATTAGACAATCCCATATAATGAAGATCTGTCCCTCCCCAAGTGCCCATAACTAGAGTAGCTTGTCATCATGAACCAAGGGCAGACAACTGACCCAGTCATACCTAGCTATTCCGGGCTTTGAGGAATGCAGGAATACCCAGAAAGATAATCTCTTTACCCCATCATGCTCTCCCAGGATCTGGATTTGGGGAAAGCTGTGTTTGGGGGAATCGAGACCTGTCAGCCTCATTCTAATGGGACCCACATGAAATGCAGATCCCTAAGGAGTGGTTAAGCCACAAGTAGGATCAGCTGGAACTTGAGGTCTTCAACTCTTGCTGCTAATTGGAATTTCCTGTAATGCTTTGTAAAGACAGATTCCTGGGTATGATCCAGTAGGTGTGGACCAGCCTCTGGGATGGCCCAATGGTCTTAGCCTTCTGGTTGCTCATGTCTGGTTAGGCCTTCCCACACTGCAACAGGATTGGCAACTGACAACTGACACATGGCACATACAGAACGATGCTATGTCACTTTTGAGCTGAGGTTGGATGCTTTCTCACTCACCTGTTCTTTTATCACTTGCTTTGGGGGAACGAGCTGCCACGTTGTGAGGATGCTCAAGTAGCTGATGGAGAGTGCTCCTGCCTTTAGTCACATGAAGGGGCCGCCATGAGAGGGAGCATCCAGCCCAGGCCATTAGTGAGACAAAGGCCTCACAAGTCAGCCTGGACCAGGACCACCAGCCGAGCTGCTCTCAAAAAGTGTGTGTGATAATAGATATATTTTTAAGCAGCTAGGTTTTGAGCAACAGATGACTAGTTCAGTGGGTCTAGGGAAGTGATGGTGAACCTTTTAGAGACCAGTGCCAAAACTGCAACCCAAAACCCACTTATTTATCGCAAAGTGCTAACACTGCAATTAAACTTGAGTACTGGGGTTTTAGTTTAGAAAAAAACAACTCATATATTGACATCTGTTGTCTTAATAGAGAAACAAATAACACACATGTCATAGGTTCGCCATGGCTGGTCTCGGGTGACAGACAGACAGCCACAGGTCTGAGAGCTGTGGCCCTGCGTCCAGCATCAGGTCCTTGTCTGCTGAGTGTTTTCCGGGGGAAACGTTGGTCCAAAGTGTGTGTCATGACAATGTATGGTGTGTGTGCGTGTGGTGCGTGTATGTGTTGCATGTATGTGTACATACAGTGTGTGGCGTATATGAAATGTGTATGTGCCCATGTGTGGTGTGTGCTCTATGTGGAGTGTGTACAGTGTGTGTATAGGTGAGGTATTGTCTGTGCATGCAAATCTGTGTCTAGGTGTGCATGCAGGGTGTGGGTATGTGTGTGTGAATGTGGATACCCTTGCTCTGCGGGCCCCAAATCGGACATGGAGATGCAGATGAAGACCTCTTCTACCAGCAGCCTCAAGAGCTGTGCATCACCTCTGGGCCCTGGTGGGTCAGGAGTGCTTGCTGATTTACTGCTCCTTGAAAGAAAGAAACCCCTAAGAGTAGGAGACCTCAATAGGATTTGGGCTGATGGTTTTCAAAATCTGTTTAATAGCGGGATCATCCCCGCAGAGGAAAATATTCACAAATCCCAATTGGGCGCAGTTCTGGGTGGGCCTGAGTGGGGCCCGAGATGCTTCTTCCACCTCCTGCTCTGCCCCAGCAGCTCACGAGGGCTTCACAGCTTGCAAAGCCCAGCTGCATCATTATAGATAAGTAAACTGAGCCCCTGGAGTGGTCACGCTGCACCATGACGGCAGATGTCCACAGTCTGATCCCTTGCTCCCTAATCCAACCTCTGCACTGCCTAGGACATCACATCATGCAAGTCATTTGTGGCTTTGGTGGCTGCGTGTGTCAGCTATGGACACAGCTCAGGACCATGGCTGGTCATCCAAGCTGCTCTCACAGGGACCCCTTAGCTTGGTCCCCCTCAGAAGGCAGGACTTGACTCGCAGTGTCCTGAGTGTAATGATAGCAGAAGCTAACACGATGCCTACAGAGCACGGGTGTTGCCCTGAGCCCCATGTGAACCTGGTGGCAGCCTCCTGACGGGACAGCGAGGGTCCTCAGTCGCATTTACACTGGGGTGGGGGGCGGTGGTCAGACCTTGTTCTTTTCTGCCCTGATGCTCCCAGGCTTCTGGCTTGAAGGCCTCTTCTATGCCTCGCCTAGGGCAGGGGAGAGCTGGTTCCTCCCCCAGATCAGCTCTTTCAAATGTGGTTTTTACATCAATAATGAGTGCTGTGAGCATGTAGGAAAGGAGGGAGCAGACGATCATTTGGGAGGACTTTACCCTGTTATCTTTGGGGCCAAGGCCAACTTTACATTAGCAGTGACGATAACAGAGACTGAGCTGACGCTGTCCCCTAACCTACGTGCCACTGCTCAGGGCTATCGCTTCAGTAGCCTCTCGGATAGGTAGGGAAGTTGCAGGAGTGCTGCAGAGAATTCACTCAGATGCCCAGTCTACTAACACTTCCCTGCATTTGCTCCTCTTCTCTCTGTGTACCTAGACACCATCACCGTTGACCTTCTCCTAAACAATCTGAAGACAACAGTATGTGCCAGCCTCAAATCCCTCAGATATTCTAGAGTGCATTTCTCAAAGCCAAGGGCACTCACCATTACTACCCCGGAAATGACGGTAGGTTTTCCTACTCTGAGTCATCAGAGGTACATGGTGGCCATCTATCCCACCACTCACAGAGTTAGCCTTGGCCACCTTGTCAAGTTGGAGCCTGCCAGATTTCTCTACCATAAAGTATCCACAATTCCTCTGCACCAAGGTGACCCTTGTGTGTGTCCCTCTCTGCTGCCCACAGAGTCCCAGTGTGCAACACAGGGAGTGGAGTCCATGCAGAGATGGTGGGTCTTGGTCAGCTTGGAAGACAGAATGCAAAATCAGGGAATCCAAGGGATATGGTAGGCACAGCTTCAGGAAAAAGAGAGCTGCCCAGAGAGAGAAGTCCAGGAGGACACAGAACCTTGAGTCCCTGGCTGAGAATTAATTTGTACACAGGTATGAGGAAATGTCCAAGGCTGGGGGAAGCCCAAAAGAAATAAATGCCGCAGTGCCCTCGGATCACACAGGGCTGGAGACAGTGGCGTTCCTCTAGCCAGCAAGGAAGGGCCTTCTGAGACACAGGGCATTGCATAGCAGTCGCTGAAGGGTACACGGACTCAGCAGGGAGGCAAAATCTGCCCTATAATCTTCCCTCCTTGATAAGTTTAAAAGTCTGGAAAGGATTGGACTGGTTTGAAGTAAGTAGGTTCCAGAACAAATCTCCAAAATATTTAAAGGAATACTGGCAAACAAATACCACTCCCCCAAGAAAACTTAGCATCCAAAAATGTAAAGCTCCTAGTGTCTGGCACCTAATATACTATTATCAGACACACAAAGAAAAATATGACCCATAACCAGGAGGAAAAAAGTCAGTTAATAGAAAGAGTGTGAAATTACATGGGTGATAGATTTAGTAGAGAAGGACATTGAAATATCTGTTAGAAGTAGGTCCCATATGCTCAAGAAGATAGGACAAAGCATGAGAAATAGTAGAAAGGGCTGGGAATACAGTTCAGTGGTACAGCACTTGCCTAGCATGAATGAGGTCCTGGGTTCAAACCCCAGTACCACCACCACCACAAATCAAGCAGCTTTTTCTAGTCACAGAAAAATATGTTTTTGTTTCGGTTTGTTTGTTTGCTTTTTGTACTGGAAAATGAACTTGGGACCTTGCGCTTGTAAAGCAGGTAGCAGCACCATGGAGCTAAATCCTGGTCCCAAGGTGATACGCGTTTTTGTTTTGAGTCACAGAAAACGATGATGAAGCACGGCACACATAGAATTAGAGCCCCAGGGGTGGGGGAAGGAGGAGAAATAACAGCTGACAAGTTTCCAAATTTGAGGAAACTATTAACCTCCATATCTAAGAAACTCAATAAACCCCAAAAGGGGAAGAAAAGGTAGAAAGCCACAGGAAGTCTCGCAATGACTGAATTTCTAGGGCTAAACCGTAGGATCTACTGTCTCTCTCAGTGAGAGGTACAGGTCAGGAGCAAAGAGGAGCTGAAATGGGACAGTGACCAGGAAGGGGTGAATGGGTGCAGGTGGAATAGCATGAGAGATTCTGGAGTGGGAAGGGCAGGTGACATGGTGGAGGAAGACGGCAGGTCAACAGCAGTGGTGGGCTCGGGGCCTTCTAAGGCTCCAGCACGCTAGCTGCCTTCAGCAGGCCCACCCATCCCTCAGAGGAGCCATTCCTGCTGCTTCTGCCCACAGTCCAGCACTGCGGGGTTCCAGCGTCTGGATTCACTGCAGCTTGGGTGTGAGTCCTCTTTGTTTAGAGCTTGGCCTCTCTCTGGGAGCTGAGCCCAATCAGTGTCAAAGTCAGCAAGTCCAGCAGACACCTGGAGACTGGAGGGACAGCTCCACTTTTCAGAAGGCTAAACATAGACATCCAGCCACATAACACATCCAGCAGCTCACTGCAGAATGTTCACCTATAGAGTTTCAAGGAGCAAAACCCCCCAAGATGGCCGAGTTGCATCTAGAGGACATCATGCCTACCACCAGTACCCATGGCATCACCAAGGACAAGCCGCTCCACATACTGCAGCGGGGGACACAGACACCCCGGTCCTGTCCATCTACCACTGCAGTGCATGGCCTCCGGAGCCAGGACCGGCTAGAGTGAGAATCTGGCCTGCACCTACCTGCCAGGCTGGAAGGACCTTCTCAATGTCATTCAGGTTGATGCCATCTCCATCTTCCAGCTTCCCTTTTCCACACCTGGACCAGAAAAGAAAAGGCATTGGGAACAAGGCTCACCTAAGTATCCCGTCCCAGCCTGTCTGGGAGGGGAGTGACAGTCAGGACAGACCTGGCCCCGCCCTCCTGCAAGGCCTGCAGAATCAACTGTCCTACCCAGAGGAAATGGAGACAGGGGCTCTCCTCCTTTCAGGTACTATCTAACCTCCAGGTAGGTGAAGGAGGAATGGAGGAGTCCCTTGAACCTTCTTGACTAATGAGCACCCCAAAGCCTGTCACAGGCCTTACAAAAGCCCTTCCATCTTGCCCCATTGCAGCAAAGGGGTGAAAAAAATCAGTGAACAGAGACCAAGCAACTTTCTCAAGGTCACACAGGCTGGCAGAAAGCCCAAGGGGGCTTCTTTTCTCCTCGGCTTGGCTCTGAGCCTGCTCAGATAGCAGCAGCCTTGTCCTCTGGGATGTCCCCTGTGGTGGGCATGCCCTCAGGCCTGAGCCACTGGCCCATTCACAGGCCAAAGCTCTAGGTCTCCTGCATATTTAAGGGTGCAGATTCTTTTCTTTTTAAGGGTGCAGATTCTGACATAGGACTGCTAGGGTAAGAACCCAGCTGCAGACGCAACCCTTACAAGCTGGGTGGCCCCTGCAAGTCACTTCACCTCTTTGTACCTCAGTTTCCTTGTTTGCAAAATGGGGGGAAATTAGTACCTAACATCATAAAGTGGCTGGAGGACTGACTTCGTTAATAGATTTAAGTGCTTAGGTGTTTACAATTTTGGCTGACAGAATAAATATTTCAGATGTGTATTATTTATATGCATTAGCTATAAGGTGTAACATATATAACAGGGAAAGATAGCGAATAAATGAAATAAAGTTATAACACCATAAAATAAGGAATCACATAACTGTATCACCACAGCTATGTCTCTTTCTATGGCTACTGTCCTTGTACAGGGGTGGGGAGCATCAGCAAGCAACTGATCAAGCTCCCAGACTCTGGGGCCAGCCCAGCCTCTTGCAACTTCCTCCACTCCTGGGCCTCCTAGTCTCCCACATCAAAGGGAACACCGCAGCTCCGACAAGTGTGGTGGTGACAGGCGTCTAGAAGAGGGTGGGCGCATAGCATGTGTACAGGAAGCACTACCACCATTATCAGTACTGACCGAGGTCCAGCAACGACTGCCCTTGAGCTGGTGGCAGCACTTTCCAGCCCCTGAGTTAATGCAACTCTCAAATATCAGAGTGGTTCATCCACTTAAATATTTACCAAATATCTATTTTTGATTGGGGCGCTGTCAACAAAATAAAAGCCCTGGGTTTTGGTAGAGCAAATCCTTGACTGATCTAGTAGGCCTGTGAGCCTAACTGCCACTAGGGGGCAACATAAGGCAAGAATCACAAAAGTCCTACGGACGAAGTGCCTGGACCCCAATTGGCAGCCCAAGCCAGCAAATGCTTAGGCAGGAGAGAAGGGCGCTGAGAGCTCAGCCTCCCCGCCCCCATTAGATCCTTCATTTCTTCAACCACCATATGCTTCTGCACTAGAGTCTGGGCTGAGGGCTGGCACCTGGGTTCAACAATACTGGGGCCAGGAATATAGCTCAGTGGTGCCATGCCTGCCTGTCAGGCATAGTCTTGGGTTCGATCCCTGGTACTGTGAAAACAAACAACAACAACAAAAACCCTAAATCAAGCAAACATAAAACAACACTGGGTTAAACAATTGTGGGAGACTCAGCCCCGTATCAGGGGCCAGTCCTGTCAGAGACAGGAGGGGGGTGTTGCAGGAACTCAGAGGAGCACTGGGTAGGACTGACTTGGGCAGAGGGCCCAAGTGTGAAAGGATGTCCCAAGCAGTGGGGTAATCCCAGCACTCTGGGAGGCTGAGGCAGGAAGAGCACAAGTTTGAGCTCAGTCTGGGCAAATAAGCAATTTGGTGAGATCCTTTCTCAAAATAAAAAGAATAAAAAGGACTCTGGATGTAGAATCCCTTGTGAAAGCCTTGGGTTCAAACCTAAGTTAAAAAAAAAAAAAAGCCCCAGGTGATTGAGCGGCCTAGCAGAAGCCAGGAACTAAGCACACATACACTGCATGCAAAATGGCTGGCTTTGCCCTGCTGGCGTGGGTGGTGGTGGGGATGTGAGGGGCGGGCCAAGGGCAGAGGGGCTGCAGGAGGGTAGCTACAAAGGAAAAGAGGAAAATCACCCCCTATCCTGCACCCCCGGCTACTGGGCCGTGGGTAAGGAGGTGGAGAAAGGCCTGGAACGTTCATCCAGCCATCTTTGAACTAATGTGAGGTGTGGGTGAAAATACAATGAGTATCTACATTTTAAAAATTTATTACATAAGGACATTGCCATCATCCTCCCTCAAAATACTCCCCTTCACTTCCTTCCTTCCCCCTTCACTTCTCCGACCATTCTTGTCACTTTCTGGACTAGTTCTAGATGGTGTCTTTCATGTCTTTATCGCACCATTGTGGCTGCCTTGATGTCCTGAATCCACTCAAAGTTCCACTCAAGTTTTCATGGTCTTTTTGACTTTGAGGAAGAGGCAGAAGTTGCATGATACCATGTCCAGTGAATAAGGGGGATGAGGATACACAGTACTATTTTTGTTTGACAGAAATTGCCATAAATGTTTTGAATCAATTCAGGATATCAAGACAACCAAGAAAAGTCAATGAAAGAGGACTTCCAGCACTGTGTCAGAAGTGGCAAGAAGAACGGGATAAGCGTGCTTGAAGCAAGGGGGAGTATTTTGAGGAGATTCCTGGCAATGTGTCTTTATTGTAATAAATTTTAAGTTTGGATGTTCACTCTGTTTTTCAATTACATCGCATAAATCTGCTTGGGGATGACAGGCTGGCCTGTGAAAGCATCAACTGCTTGTAGTCATAGGGGCTATGCCTGTGCCATGGCCCGTAAGAAGGGGATACTGGGGACTTGGCCTGACTGGAATGGCTGATATCCCTCCTGCAGGTCACGTGTGGGCACTGGGCTCTGAGGCCATGCCAGGTTCCAGGCCTCTGACCCTCATTCAACAGCACAGGGTCAGGCAGTGGGCAGTGGGCAGTGGGCAGGGGAAGGGTGCTACCCAAGCTCACCCTGGTTGGGGCCAGTATCTCCTGCAGGACTTCAGGTATGTGTGGGGAAGGTGGCTGCAGCCAGCTGAGTCACTGCTGCCAACCAGGTTTCCAAGGCAACAGCCTGCTCTGATTTCTGTCCCTCCATGGAAACACAGGCTGCAGGAAGCCTTGGCAACTGAGTGGCACCCAGCTTCTGAGGGAGGCCGCAAGGGCTGGACACGTGGACTATGTCCCCATGCCTCAGGACTCTGCTGGGGATGAGAGTTCCTGGCCTTGCCACAAGGTGGCCACAAGACATGGCCCCACACTCCTGAGGAACCCAAGAGGGACAGGATTTGGCCAGGGCCAGACATCCCTGGCAGACCCTAGGGAGCTCTCTCAAGTCTAGTCTGCTCTTGCTGGGTGGGTGAACATGGCCAAGGAATCCAGGCCTGCAGTGGTGAGCGGGAATGGCCTGTTACTTTGGCTTCAGAAGAGAGTGTCTGTCGGCACTGTCAGGGGTAAGGGGCATGTGTGTCCTGATGGCGGTTAATGCCCGCGAGCTTGGCTGACAACTTTGGAACGCTCGACATGCATTCCCCACTAGACACCCACAAGCAGTAAGGCAGTGGCATCACGTTGGTCTTTTGGGCCTCAGGTTCCCCTCTGCTTTCTCCAGCTATGAGCTCTCAGGGGACACAGGAGAGAGCTGAGAGATCTCAGAGACTGGAGATCTGAGGAAGACATCATCTCTCTGCTGAAGCCTTTCCCAGAGTACTCGTCTCCACACGGCGCTCTCTTTTCTAATTCCTTTTGGATTTACTTTATTTAACCTTTCTGAGCATGACTTCTCTCATTTCAACGTGAGGAGGGCATCATCTCCTCCTAGGAGGCTACTTGTTACACAGCAGTACTGCCAAGAGGAGTGGCCTTAGGGGTGGCATGGGCAGACAGTGACAGCGACAGGACATTAGAGATGCGGGAAAGTATCTAGCAGTGCAGCTGAACGTTTAGGTCTGATGTGACAGGGAACACTGGAAGGAAAAATGAAAGCCACCAGTGTAATAAAACAAGCAAGCAAACAAGCAAACAGAAAAGCAGGAACTAACAGGCGAGGGTGAAGATGTAGAAAAATCAGAATCCTTGTGCATTGCTGGCAAGAATGCAAATATTCATCTGCTTTGAAAAAGTCCAGCAACTCCTCAAAAAAGACAAAGAATTGCCTATGACTCAGCAACTTCTATCCTACCAAAATAATTGAAAAGTAGGGATTTAAACATATATTTGCACTCAAATGTTCAGACCAGTATTATTCACAGAACCTAAAAGGTGGAAAGAACCCAAATATCCACCAGCAGACAGATGGGTGTACACGTGGCAGTGCGGCCACAGAGTGGAACACTGCTCAGCCGTGAAAAGGAACGAAGCCACAACACATGTGCCGGTGTGGGTGAACCTCACACCCGTTATGCTGAGTGAAATAAGCCAGATGTAAAAGGTCACACACAACTCCATTCCTACAAACTCTCAGAAGAGGTAAATTCACAGGAACAGAAATGTGGTGGCTCCAGGGGCTGGGGGTGGGGGTGTAGATGGCGATAGGTTTTTTATTGGGGTGATTAAAATGTTTTGGAACTACATAGGTGGTGGTTGCAGAACACTGTAAATACGTTAGATGCCACCGAACTGCACTTTTAAATGACTAATTTTATGTTATACGAATCTTGCCTCAATAAAAATTATTGTAAACAAATAGAATCTGTAGTCATCTTTCTCACCCCCTGTGGCTGGGTAACAGGTGGGTCCCCTGTGGGCCGTCAGGAGCAGCCACTATGAGCTGAAGGGGTCTGGGGAAAAGGCAGAGATGCTGAGAGCAGCCAGTGAGCCTGCAATGCTAGGGTAGGGCGGGGAGAGCATCCTGGACATTAGTGGGGTGCCCCAGTGCTGCAGGAGCCCACCCACCTCCGCCCTTACCCTTCACGGTCAATGTGCGGCAGGGGCTGCTTGGGTGCATGTCGGAGCTTGCGGTGGAACTGTGTGAAGTCCAGCTTTTCAGGCTGCAGGTCCCAGGTGGCACCACTAGAGGGGGAAGGAGGGCGAGGGAGGGAGAGATGGGAAGTGGGGAGAGGAGCTTAGTTAATGACTGAGGGGGCAGGAGGCTGAGTCCAGCAGGGAAAACGTCCTGTCCTCCAAAGAGGTGGGCAGATGCGAATGCGGGAGGGCACCCATCCGCAAGGGCCAGGGCCTGTCTAGTGACTCCGCTCAGAATGGAGCCTTCCCTCAGGCTTGCTATAGACAAACACATTCTTTCAAAACCCTGGTGTGGGCCCAATGCCTACTTTATAGCTATCTCTCTGTCGTGGCTTGTATCTAGATGTTCCCCCAAAGCCTCATGCAGATGAGGTGGGGCTTTCTTTTTCTGAGGTGGCTGAATCTAGAGTGTGTTATTGTTTCATGGTGGGGCCAGCTCCAAGGATGCTAGGATTAAGGGAGTGAATGCTACTTGACCTAAGTAGTCTGAATAAAATAAAAAAGGCAGGAAGAAGCTGTTGAGGTCCCTTTGATTTTGCTACTTTGTGTGCGCCATGTTGTTTCTCCTCTGGAATCCTGTTTGCCATCCTTGCGTTGGAGCTAGCCAATTGTGGACCGAAACCTCTGCAAACTGTTACTTTAACTTTCCCCCTTTGACTTTGGGTGTTGAGTATTTTGTCTCACCGTCAAGAGAAAAAGTAACCAACACACTTCCTCAGAGTTTGTCTCTTGACTACAGTTGAGGAAGGCTGGGCAGGGGTGTGGCAGGGTAGTGGTGGGGTGAGGGGGTGGTTGTGGTAGTGTAAAATCTGTCACAGGACCTCTGGCAGCCAGTTCAAAATGGCCACAGGATCCCTGAGGTGGATGAGTGGGGGAGCAAAGGCAAGTACTCCGGGTTCCCAGCCCAGGAGACTTTCCATACTGGGGGAAGCTGTGCCCTAGCCTGACGTGCATCCTGAGTTGGGCAGCTCTGGGGCCATCTGTGGCCTTTTAGGGGAATTGTCCCCTAGTCCTTGGGAGCCCTAACCAATTCTCCAGGCCCATCAGGAGACTTCAAGAGTAGGAACTGCACAGTTCTCCCTTTTTTCTGGACTTCTCATATGGGAAGAGTGGGGGCTGCCACTTACATTCTCCACCACCCACCATGTGTCCCTCTCCTCTGTTCTTGATCTCCTTAAACCCTCACCTCTCTCCTCTCCCTTTCAGTCTGTTTCTGTTTTCCTTTGCACTCACTTTTCTCTCTGCCCCTCTTCCCTTCCTCTTTTCTCCTCTGATGCTCTCAGTGGTCTTATCTTTCTCCCTTGAAGCTCCTTTCTCTGCCCTCCTTCGTCTTCCTTCTCATTCTTTTTACTTCACCTGTCTGTGTTTCCCTCCACTTCTTGGTCAGTGAACAAGGATGAGTCAGCCAGTCACACACTGCAGAAAAGGGAGTACGAGGAAGTTACCTGAAGGAATCAAAGGTGTTGGCAGCCCAGATGTCTGTACCCAACATGTCCAGAGAGTTGTCTTTGCTGCCATTCTAGAAAAGATGAGGTGAGAAATACGACATTATTTGCTTGGCCAGGATAGTGAGAACCAGTGGGCAGAAAGCCTCCCCAAGGCCCAAGACTGGAGGGCTACGGAAGTCCTTGCTTGGAGGCTGGAGTAAGCCAGCGGAGTGAATGTCCCAGCTGGTGCACTGTAGGAGCCAGGAGAATGATGTTGGAAATACCAGGGCTCCCCCTGGTCTAGAGCCCCCATTCAAGGGCATATTACAGAGGTATGCAGTCAGGATAACAGCCCAGAGTTCTCTGCCCGCAGCCCATAGCTTTTTCTTCAAAGCCTCTGCAGAAACTCCATGAGACCTGATGCTGAGCCACTATCGCCACTGCCAGCCTAATGACAGTGGTTTCTCCTCAGGCGGGGGCTCTGCAAAGCCAGGTATGCTGGAGGCTTCACGCACAGCCTAGCTTGTTTGGGGTTAAGTCTTGCTTTCTACAAAGCCCCCACCAGCCAGGAGTACACCAGCAACTGAATCTCTCCCTAAGTCAACCTGCTCCAGCTTTCACCCACCTCATTGAAAACTACTCAATACAGCATCTGGTTGGGTTTCTTGGCCTGTTGGCTGATGATCTCCCCAACAGATTCTCCAGTCTACTGATGTCACTCCTGATGCCTTTCAACCTTCTTCCCATCTACTGTCTGGTTTCCATTATCAAAGGCCCTAACAACAATACTTCCATGGCCATTCCAGCTCAATAAGTGCATGCCTTGGGACCTAGGAATTCACTTCCAGGTAGGAGCACAATAGAAATGTGCTACAAAGATGTACAGCAGCACTTTTCATATCAGCTCCCACTGGAAATCATCCAAATGCCTATCAACAGTTGATCAGATAAGTAGATCATGGAAGGTTCCCAGAGTGGAATATCACACAGCGGCAAGAACAAACAAATCTGAAGATGTGTTACTGCACGAGTAAATTTCACAAACAGAATATGAAACAAAAGAGTCCAGGCACAAAGAAGTACTGAGTATATGATTCAGTCAACATAAAGTTCAAGAACAAGCAAACAACCCTCTGGTGACAGGACACAGATAGTAACTGGAAGAGGACACCATGAGGGTCCTGAGGGCTGGTAAGGTTCTGTTCTTCTATCTGGTGATTGTTATATAAGTCAGCTTAGTTTGTGAAAATCCACTGAATAGTACACATATTATATATACACTTCTATATGTGTTATTATCTCTTGCTTAGATTCCTTGTAGTGTCCCCAGCCTTCATCTTTGGGACCTTTCTGTAGGGCCCAATTTTATTGATGTCTATTATAACTGGTCTGACCCTGGATCACCATTTCTCAGGGCCACAAGCTCACACATTGGAGGACCTCTGTTCCATACATGCTGGGCCTGGACAGACTCTGAAGACAGAAGGTAAAGGAGTCACAGGTCCACTCACTAGGATGGTGTGGGATGCCAGGCACACAATAAAGAATTACAATACAGTACTATGTGCTCCAGCTTGGGCACTGACGTAGAACCAAAGCACAAGCAGTTTCCCCAAGGAGGTCAGGGAATGAAAGAAGTCCTGGGGTGAGGCAAGCAGAGGGACAAGGAAGAGAGGGGTCATCTAGGCAAAGGGAGCAGCTTGAAGGAAGGGTTCCTGGAAGGATACACAGCCATTCTGGGCAGCTTAGAGTCCCTGTGTTTGCCCTGTAGGCTGGAGAGTACATGTCCAGGTGACCTGTTGGTCTTCAACATTATCCACTCCTAGTCCAGGTCAGAGACTACTAGGCACTGCACAGTGTTCTTCAGTAATTGCTCTGGGCTAAACTGGGTCCCCCTAAAACTCGTATGTTGGAGTCCTAACCCCCAATGCCTCAGAATATAACTGTATTTGGAGACATAGGCAGAGATTTAAGGCAACGCTGTGAGGTCATTAGGGTGAACCCTAGTCCACTATGAGTAGTCTCCTCAACAGGAAGTTTGGATGCACAGGCACCAGAAGAATGCACGTGAAGGTTGGTAGGATACTGCCATGGCCAAGGAGCTGCTGGAGAATAGGAGGCCTGGAGTAGATCCTCTCTGGTGTCTTTGGGCCAGCCTGCTTCTGTCAACACGTTAATTTCAGGTGTCTGGTCTCCACGTTGGGGAGATGATAATACACTTACATTGTCTGAAGCCACCCACTTTGTGGTCAGATGTCTGAAATAAAGCAGCCCTAGCAAACTAACACAATGATCAACCAACCATGTCATTTACGAACTCCTTTTGTGAGGCTGGGTAGATCATGCTATGATATAGATCTAAAGTGCTCTCCAAAAGTCTTATGTGCTCAGAGGTGAGGCTTTTGGAAGGCATTTGGATCACGAGGGTGCTGCACTCATCTAGATTAATCCACTACAGAGTTCGTAGCTAACTGCGCTGTTAGGAGGTAGGGCCTGGTTTGAGAAGGTAAATCACAGGGGTGACCTTGGAGACTGTATCTGATCCCTGGCCCCTTCTTCTCTGGCTTTCTTTCTGCTCTGCTTCCTGGCGACCATGAATTGGACAGCCTTCCTCTGCTGTGCCTTCTGCCATGATCTTCCTGCCTGGGCGTCAGCCAGCCATGGACTGAAACCTCTGAAACCATGAGCAAAGCCTTTGCTCCTTTATGTTGTGGGTGTCAGGTATATCGTCCCAGTGATAGAAAAGCTGACTAATACAACATCCTTTCCCTCTGAGGTCAGCAGCTACCTCCTTGAGGCCTCGTGTCCTCACAGATACAGATAGGTACCCAAGGGCCCGAGTCTTCCGCAGCTGCAAACAGAGCAGCCTAGGTAGATTAGCACAGACGCAGGCCAGTGTGGCTGGTTGCTGACCACCACCACTTCTACTTCTGCAGGAGCCAGACCGAGAGAACCTACCTACCATCCTCCTCGCTGCCCTCTTGGCTGCAGACTATGGCCAATGTCACCCCAGTACCTGCCCTACAGAGCCACATGGACAAGGCTAAGCCTCAGGGTGGAGAGGAAAAGGGGGCACCTGTATTTCCCATTTACTGAGTGTCTCTTGCCTATAAGCAATGAGAACCCAGGTAGAAATGAAGCTGAGCCAGGTTCAGGGGCCTCTATCCTTCCCTTCTGTAGTCACGAGAGACTCTCAGAACTCTGGCAAAGACACTGGGGATTTTGTTTTGTTTTTAATTTTCTTCATCCTCCTCAAGATGGGACAGAACTCGTGAGCAAGCTCTTCTCCTCACCCCTTCAATGCCCTGACTGTCCAGACCCTTGTAGCAGAACCCAGCCTACTTACTTCCCAGAGAGAGTGTGCCCTTTGCTGGTGGGCTGGCCTTTAATTAGCCAGAGGGAGGGGGCACACAAGGGCCCAGCTCCAGGTCTCCCAGCAGAAGGTACCCCAGGCCCCAATCTCACAGGAAGAGGCAGGAGGTAAGGAGCCTGGAGAGAGGGGAGAAGCTCACTTGGCCCTGGGGCTGCAGAAGGGCTGGTGAGTTAGCGCTCCCCCAGAGCTGTCTGACCTCAGGTAACACTTTTAGCTTTCGTGGCCTCATCATAAAATGAGGACTTGGCACTGCCAGCATGAAGGCTTAGGTTCTGAGTGACTGGAGAATTTTTCACCCCAGGATGTATGTATACACACACACACACACACACACACACACACAATGTATATCACATACACATGCCAATACACCACATACACAACACACGTACACACATAGACAACTACATACACAAATGCATGTATACAGCACCCATCTGCATATACACAGCGTACACACACATAAGCACCAGGTATATACACACACCACATCACACACAAACACATATATACACTATAAAATCATACTCATATACCACAAATACATAGTACACCCACAATATGTACATGTACATAGCACATAAGATACATACCATACAGATACATGTACATGCCACACTCATATATGCCCATGTTTACACCATACACACTCCCCAAATACACATACAGATACAACACACCCATAGCTACACACCACATGCATGTATATATATAAAACACACACATACAATATACTACACATAAAAATACAGGCACACTCCCCACACATAAAACACACACATATACACACACATTCAAATACAGTCTCAGGCCACTTAACAGTGGGGATATATTGTAAGAAATGCATCCTTAGGTGATTCTGTGGACACCACAGAATTGTGTTTACTTTCTATTTTAAAGTAGAAAGTATGGCAGATTCTCCCCTTGCTGTCAGGCACAGGCTGCACCTGCACACCAGGTACTGACTGCTACCCAGCAACAGCAGCACAATGGTACTTATCTGTGTACCAACTAAACAAAGCTGAGCATGGAAAAGGCAGAGGAACAGATACAAAAGCTAAAACTTCATAGGGCACTTGCCGTGAGTGGTGGGCATGGGACCAGCCTCTGCTGCTGGAAGGCGAAGAGTCTGGCAGGGACCCTGTGCTGCTGCAGGCCCTACACATGGGGCCTTTTGGTTTCACTAGACTCTAAAAAATGTTTCATTTCTTTAATAACAAATTAACCCTAGATTACTGAAGCTTTCTAGAAAATTTTTAAATCATTTGGTTCTCTTGTAATAATACTTAGCTTAAATCATAAATATACAGCTACACAAAACTTTTTGTATTATTATTTTATAAGCTTTTTCTAGTTTTAAAATGTATAATTTTTAAATTTTTATGTTAAAAACTAAGGCACAAACACAGACACAGTGGCCAAAGCCTATGCAGGGTCAGGATCATCACCATCTCTGCCTCCTCACCTTGTCTCCCTGGAAGGGTTTCGGGGGCAGTGACATGCATGGTGCTGTCAGCCCTAGGATGGCAGTGCCTATGGAATATTTCCTCAGGCTTTTACAGTTTACCTTTTTCATATACAAGTAGGACAACACCCTAAAAGAATGATAAAAGTACAATATAGTAAGTACCAAACCCAATGACATAGTCATTTATTATCAGGATCAAGTATTATGTACTGTACATAAATTTTATACAGCTGGTAGTGCAGTGGGTTTGT